TGTGTGTGTGTGTGTGTGTATATATGTGTGTATAGTATATATATATATATATATATATGTACAATATAATAATATATATATATATATATATTATACATATATACTAACACACACTCAATCATCATACAGGTACCCCTTCCATGCTGGAGGTCTGCCATGGATACGTTAACCGTATGGCGTCGCACGCGTACATGCGTAGTGCGTGCACAGGACTCCGACGATGATGAGCCAGAGGAGATGATGTTCGCATACATTCCACCAAATGAAGTACTGCAACTGACTATGTCATGTGCTGCCACCGCTCACTTATTGCAGAAATAAATTTAACTTCTTGTGTTAAATCCTTAAACTCTAAACTATAAACCCTAAACCCAACCTCATGAAGTACTGCAACTGACCATGTCCTGTGCTACCACTGCTCACTTAGTGCAGAAATAAATATAACGTCTGTGTTAAACCCCTAAACTCTAACCCTAAACCCTAAACCCTAAACCCTAAACCCTACCTCATGAAGTACTGCAACGGACTATGTCCTGTGGTGCCACTGTTCACTTAGTGCAGAATAAACACAACCTCGTGCTTAACCTCTAAACCCTAACCCCTAAACTGTGTTGATTAGTGTCTGAGGAGTGTGTGAGTGGGAAGGTCTTTCGATTGATATGCTGTGAAGTCTACTGATAGTGGCGTGTAAGTTATTTCGTACATATAAGAACACCCCCTCATCCAACTACGAGCCTAACTAACTTGCACACTTAGAGGAGCTTCTGGTTATATCACTAGACTCGTCATAGAATACCCTTTATAACTGAAAGATAGCTTTGGACGAGGGTGCCTTGAGATGAGAGTTATTAAATAAATAAAAACCCCCGAAGGGCAACATATCCCCAGAAGGTTTGCGAATCTTGTTCATTGGTTGGCTAATGCCTGCTGCTATGTATTCTAATATTTATTTATCTATGTACACGAACAGCCGCCCCTCCCTCCATCTATCCGAAGAATACATCCCGGCCACACTATAGGTCCTCATCTCAACCTCTCTTGCCCTTTGTGCCCCGTTTCTTGCCGAATGTTCGTTTTTTGGGCTCATCTGCACCCGCTTTGCCTCGTTTGCCACCCTTGACCTTTGGTGTGAAGTGCGGATTCTTCTTACCCCCTTTGTTGGCGCCTTTGACTTTGACCTTCAGTTCCGGGGCCGCCGATTTCTTGAACTCTTTCAAGCTGGCGTGATGAATCGTGGAACGGAGAAAAGAGTTTACTAACCCGAAAAACCAGGTTTCGTGTAACGAAAGAAAAAATAATGCGAACTGGATTGTATGAAATCTAGGGATACACTAGTACTCAACTAAGTTAAAAATGCCCCACATATACCTACCATGAGTGATACGAACCACCTTATACCTGTCGTATCTATTACAACTCAACTTGAACCTACCCTGACTAATACAACCCCTCTTATACCTGCCGTAACTACTACAGCTCAGCTGATACATACCCTGACAAATACAACTCACCTTATGCCTGCCCTAACTAACACAACTTAACTTATTCCTACCCTGACAAATACAACTCACCTTATGCCTGCCCTAACTAACACAACTTAACTTATACCTACCCTAACAAATACAACTCAACTTATGCCTGCCCTAACTAATACAACTTGTCTTATATCTACCCTGACAAATATAACTCACCTTATGGCTGCCGTAACTTATAAAAATTAACATATACCTACCCTGACAGATACAATTCAACTTACGCATATCTGGCTTCCTGTATTTTCTGACGATTTGCGCTTATCGCCGCAATGTCTTCGACGTCGTCATCCGACTCACTCTCAGCATTCCACCTCAACTGCAGCACAGAACAAAGGAACAAGTATGTCGGTAGGTTTACATGGATTGTGTAGCATGGTCAGCGTGTATGTGCAA